AAAAAAAAAAAAAAAAAAAAAAAAATCCTAGAACTTGCCGTTATGGTAGAGCATGCTAGCAGCTCGTTTTTAAAAAAAAAATCGTAGAACTTGCCGTTATGGTAGAGCATGCTAGCAGCTCGCTCCCATCCCACAGACGACACAGGAATATTAAACAATGCGGTGCTGGATCGATGGACGAATAGTGGTCAGGGAAACGAGTGCCGCCTCTACTCATGGAAAAGAAGACCGTGACAAAAAAAAAAACAAAAAAAAAAAACAGAAAGAGAGAAACTGGAGGAGATGAGCAGAGGGAAGAGGACAAAGGAATTTAAAGTAGAGGGAGGAGAAGAAAAGAAGATGGATGAGGAGGAGAACAGAGAACAGAGAGCAGGGGAGATGTTAAAGACAAACGAGAAACATTCGGTGAGGTGGGAAACAAGTGCGAGGGAGGAATACACCGACTGGGAGACAACCAGACCTGTGTAGGAGGAGGTGGTCCCAACAACAGCTAGAGGACCAAGTGGGCGTGGCAAAGGGATTGAAGAGGGAGAGGAGAGGAAGAGGAGAAGAAGGGGAAACGAATGGGAGGGGGAAAGAGCAGCAGCGGAAAGGGAGCGGGGCGGTTGGCAGCCATTGAACATTATGATTAAAAAAAAAAGATAAGATGGGGAGCCAGACAAAAAAAAAAAGAAAAAAAAAGAAAAAAAAAAGGGGGAGCCAGAGGGACAGGCCAGAGTAAGAAAGACACTGACTTTTTGAAAAAAAAAAAAAAAAAAAACAGACACTGACTCAGAGAAAGGGCGAGGGGCAAAAATCACACCCCTTGCCAATTGAGCATATGCTTAGATGAACGGCAAAACAGATGAACGGCGACGAGGTAGAGTCGGGGAGACAAATAAACACTGCCAGACAAAACTGTTTTTTTTTTTTTTTTATATAAACACTGCCAGACAAAACTGTTACAGTGAGGGGAGCAGGAGAGGGAAGGGTAAAGAATGACCTCATGCCATTCGGAGTCAGGACCGCGTTGCTAGCAGTCAGCGACAGCGACGAAGCCTCCGTGATTAAACCACGGCACAAATGCTGCCCGCCTTTCCTCTGCAGCCCTCGCAACGGCAAATTATGCCCATGCAGCCCAATCCCACCCGGCCCTCCTCCGCTGGACGACCTCGTCGTCGGACGGATCAGCGACGGGAAGGAATGTCCAATCCAAATCAATTCAATTCAAATTCACAGTTGATGAATGACAGTCCTTCGGGACATCCGTTAAAATTGGAACGATACAGAGAAAGAAGAAGATTAGCATGGCCCCTGCGCTTTCAAGGATGACACACATAAATCGAGACAGGGCCTCGCCGCACGGCACACGAAACGAAAACGAAACGAGTGCATCTGCCCACCAAAGGTGGCAAAATACACTCGTTACTATTTATAGCAAACCGATGAACCTGGCCATTTTCCGGGGGAAGATACATTCGTTTCGTTTTTCGTTTCGTGTGCCGTGTGGCGACGCCCACAGTCCAGTTCTAACTTTATTTGAAGTTGCTTAATTGGGACGCTGGACGCGGTTTCCAGCAGGATCACACGAGGCATTGTCCCCAGGGGGGGAGGTCCCACTAGCAAAGAGGATTGGATTGAACGCCTGAATCAGGCCGAGTTTGTGGACAAGTGCAAAAAATCGAGATTGAACTCCTTTTCTGCATCTCTGCCTAAAACACGCCCAGATTCAGGATCTTAATCCAATCCCCGTTGCTAGTGCGACCATGCTCCAGGACCTAGCCCCGGGTTGCCATGTTGAGGGATTTGGGGCCTCATTTTATTTTTTATCAATATGGGTCTCTTTAGACACTCCTAAAAGAATCCTAAAATTTTTAGGACCAGTCCTAAAGGATTTTAGGATTTCCTGCCGCGTCTTTACAGGCAATCCTAAAAGTCATCTTTTAGGTCTTTTAGGATTGTCCTAAAAGGTCTCCGGTGGCCGGTTTTCATATGCGTATACACAGCCGCGTTGCCAATGTCCGTCCAATCCCCGCCAACGGCTACCATTCGTGGCCGTTGTCCGCGTCGACCCGCAGAAAACCTCCGATGTCCGACTACTGACCCGACTGACCGCTTCTGCACCAGCAACTCCGTGTCGACGGTGCCATGCGCGCGACTCAACGAGTCCGTGAAATGCGGGAATCCTAAATTTTTCAGTAGGCCGGGGGCTACTGGAAAACTTAGGACGATTTTGCCTGGGGAATCCTAAATCCTTTAGGACTCGTCCTAACACCGTTTTCACATTTTCAATCTCAAAATTGGATTTAGGATTGCGTGCAACCAAGACGGAATCCTAAAAACAGGCACTTTTAGGAGTGTCTAACGAGACCCCACTGTGCCTGTTTTGCTGTCAACATTCCCAATATTCAGGAAAACCCAGGCTAAAACTTGCTAGTCTTGTCAGACTTCATTTAAAGTTGGGACCCCCTACCTACAGTACCCTCATCTCTGAATCCCCCCCCCTACCTACAGTAACCCCATCTCTGAATCCCCCCGAGCCTCACGGGGATCTGGGCCCCAGCAGCCATGGAGTAAGAGAGATACCTCCATTTGTTTTTCTACTGACTAGTCTGTCTTCGACACCCCAAGTCCCAAGAAACCATTTATAACTTGATCGTCTGTTTCTTCTCTTGCTGCCCCCCAACACCTAATGCTGTCTAGCATCTCCTGGAGGATGGAAATGTCTGAATAGTGCTTAGCCTGAAAAAGCCTGTCATTTCTTAATTTCCATATCACATTCATGATTGCAGCCCTAACATAACCCCAGCCCTTCTTGAAGGAGGTGTTGGGGGGCAGGAGCCCAGTCATTACAAATTACCCTTGGCAAACTTTTCCCAGTGATAACTCCACCAGCTCCAGATTCTGCGAGACTCAATGCATCCCCACCACAGATGGACCGCATTATCTGGTACCTTTTTACACCGAGCACACCTCTCCGCCACCGGCATGTTCTTCTCTTTCAGCCATACTGCAGTTGGACCCGCAGTTGGAAGGGGGTCTCAAGGCTGAAGGACCTAAAGGGGGTCTCACGGCTTAAGGACCTGTGGAACACAGATACTGCAAACTGGCGTTCGGCAGGTGAAATCAGATCGAAGCTCAAGCACCTAAGGTTTGTTGAGAACAGATTATCAGATACCGTTGAAACCATACCCGCCGAGTGGAAGACCATACTGCCTAAACTGAGCTCATCCTACGAAGGTAAGTGGAGCTTGGAGGGAGAGGAGAGCCAACCGGAGTGTCTGTGGAAAGTCGAACAGGTAAGGGGTAATGGGGAAGTACAGGTGGTCCGTGGTCAGCTAGTAGAGGATCAGGTAGGAAATGCTTTGATCTCCGAGGAGGAAGGCCAAGGGGTGTGGGAGGATCTCACAGGATGTAAGCAAGTGGTTGGAAAGGAAATAAACGGCAGGAGGGGGAGGTTGAGAAGACCGTTCTTTTACTCCTGAGCTTCGGCGTCAGATTGGGTGGAAGCCTGCCCGTTCTATGTTCGTCGCCGAGTTTCTTTTTTTTTTTTGGGGGGAGAACCATGTAAACTTTTATTACCAACAACAAAAGGAAACAGGGGCCGCGAAACCCCGAAACCCCACATTATCCGGAGAAATATTGGGGCCAACACCCATCTTAGAGAGGGACCCCACAGCGGCAAGAAGACGTTTTGGAATTCCAAAAAGTGGTCCGTGGAATCCCACAGATGTTGGCGGCGGTTTCTGAAAATCAAGGGAAAGTGTTTCCACTACCCCCGTGGCCCGTTGGTACCCCCGGGCAACAAGGAATTCCGTTGGCATCGGAAGGGTAGGAATGTGACGTAGTAGCTTCCGGACCTGCGCCATCT